TAATAAACAATCTTAACATTTTGCAAATATAAAACTTATAATTTATTTCTTGTTAACTAAATAAACTTTCTAATAAACAGCATGTCAAGTTGATTAGATTTAAGTCATAGCTACTGTCTCCCTGACTTCAAATCATAGTTAACTTATTCGACAGAAAGAGTAACGTTAACATTGTGATATTTGTAACTATTTTAATGCTGAATGATCTATAATCAATTCAAATTTAACTATGTATAGATAATGGTGAAAATGTTGAATAGCTTATACTATCGCTAAACATTCTTGATCTGTAACTGAATAATTCTTTTCTGCTGGAGTTAAACTTCTACTCACATAGGCAATGAAATATTCTCTTCTCTTCTTATCTTTTTGTGCTAATACAGTTCTTAAACCTATTCCTGATGTATCAGTATATAAATAGAAAGTTTTATTAAAGTTTAAATATTATAGAATTGGTGCATTAATCAAACAATTTTTTAGATGATTAAATGCATTTTGTTGCTTTTCAGTCTATTCAAATATTTGATCTTTCTTTAACAAGGTATTAATAGGCTTTACAATTTACGAAAAATTCTTAATGAACCATCTATAATAAGAGAATAATCCTAAAGCTGATCGAACTTGAGATATATCTTTTGGTATTGATAAGTCTTTTACTTTTTTGATTTTGCTGAGTCTAGTTGAATACTATCTCTTCCAACTATATATCCTAAAAACGTTAAGTTAGGCATGCAGAAACTACATTTTTTCAGCTTAATCTTCAAGTTAGCTTCTCTTAATGCTTGAAAGACTTGTTTAATATGATCAATATGTTATTCAAAAGATTTTGAATAAATTATGATATCATCTAAATAAACTGAGACAAATTTAGCTGCATATGATTGTAGAAAATAATTTATGAGTCTTTGAAAGGTTCCTGAAGTATTACATAGCCCAAAAGGCATTATATTGAATTTATATAACCTGAAATTAGTAATAAAGACAGTTTTTTTCTTGTTTTTTTCTTCTATTTCAACTTGCCAGTAACCACTAGCTAAGTCTAACGTAGTGAACCAGTTTGCTATTCTGAACTATTCTAGCATATTATTAATTCTTAGTAAAAGATAAGCATCTTTTTTGTGACTGCATTCAATTTTGTATAATCAACGCATATTCTTTTATCTCTAGTTTTCTTTACTATAATTACAACTGGTGAGGCTTATGAACTCTTTGATTTTCTAACAATACTTTTCTTTTCCATATCTTCAATCTCTTGGTGCAGAAATTGTTAGTTATTTGGACTGCATCTATATAATATTTGTGCAATTGGTATGTCTTTTTCTAGAATTATTGAATGTTTGATAATAGCAGTTCATCCTGTATCCATTTGACTCCCAGCATACAAATCACTATTTTTTCAAGAGTTTGTTAAAAAGTATTCTATTGATAAGCATTCAATAGTCCAACTTGTAGTTTAGATTTTTCTTGATTTTCCTTTGGTAGATCAGCTAAATATACACTTGGGTATTTATTTTTATGCATTCTTATATGAATTTCTTCTAAGATTCTATTTGCATATTTGGTATGAGTAGGGGTTGTTTCTCTTTGTTCTGCCATATCTGCATATTTTTCAAAACAAAATGGTTACCATTTTCCTTACTTTTCCAATTCAATTTGTTTAAAGATCCAATTTGATGTGATTCTAGTAATATATACATTACAGTCATAAAAATCATCATTAAAAAGATATTCCACATCTTCAGACTTAATTGGGATGCCTGTTTCTTCATGTGTTTCCTTTAATACTGCTTTAATTGATGTTTCATTAGGTTCTACCTTCCCACCTGATACTTGCCACATTTTATACATTTCTTTTTGCAGATTAATCCTTTGTAATATTATAATATCCTGGTAATTATACATAATATTCATTACATATTTTAGTTGAATATTATTTTCAACTTCGCTTAAGAATACATCATATTCATCTAAGTCTTTTTCCTCATATACATCCAAGATTTGATCTAAGTTTTCCCTTTCATCTACCATTCCTTCTTCAAAGAGAATATTAAAAGTAGTTCTTTTAGTAACATATGAGATAAAAGCAGTTTGTATACTAAAGTTAAAATTTATTTTGGTTTTTCTATACCAATCTATTTCTAGTAATAATGTATCCTGTGAAGATTTGATCACTTGAAATTCTACTGGAACTGAATCATGTTATACGATTATCTTTGCTTCAGTAATTTGTTCTAAAGCTCTTACACGACTTCCATTTGCTATAGTCACGATTAATTTAAAAGGTTTATCAATATTAAGTCCTAACTTTTTGGCTAATTTGTTGATAATAATACTGATAGCTACTTCTGTATCAATTATAGCTTCAATGGGATTATTTTTAATTCTAATATATGCTTTACAGGAAGTTATTTACTTTTCCTGTTCATCATCTACAAATTCAAAAAAATTGATACTAGGTATTAATACCAAATATTATCTTAAAGCGTTTGCTAAATTCCTTCTTTGAGCTGATATTTGTAACCACTATCCTAAAGTTGCAGAGGATTGTTTTGATAGAATATCATCAGCTATATTATATAGTGTAAGATTATCAACTATAGACAGATTTTGTGCTCTTTTAACAGATTTTTGTTTAGGGGTGGACTCTACTTCCATTCTGGTTGGATTAATAATATGAGTCCTAAGATTTACCTCTTTATTCAATTTAGAAGTTCTGGTCATTTTCCTTTGTCATACTCTTGCATTCTTTCTGTCAATAGTATATGGTTGAGACCTTTTTTCTGCATATACTTCAGATGTTTCTTCTTCCCCTTTATTATCAGTAAAAACTTCAATTAAATTAGTATTTCTTTGTTTCGATTTAGGAGGTCTTTTAGATAAATATTTCTTAGAATAATAGCCTTTTTTCTCACATCGCTAACAAACTATTTGGCTTTGTCAAAAGGTTTCTATCATTATTATTTCTTGTGGCATTTATATTTTTAGGTGAAATATTCGTAATATTTGGAGTTCCATTTTGTGTTGCTAATATATTAACAATATTTACATAGTTAAGGAAAAGTTCTATTTGTTTCATCAAAACTTCAATTATATTATTATTTGTAACTTGTGAAGATTCTCTTATGTAATATATTTCTGCTTCAGTTACCCTAGCTTTATTAACAGCTGCTCTCAGATTACCAGAGTCTGCCATTACAATTCTTGCTATAATGTTAGCTTTTAGTCCATTTAAAAATAATCTAATTTTGTAGTCATCTGGTAAATGATCATCTGGGTCAACTAAGTTGTTAAATCTAGTACTATAAGTATCTATACTTTCATTTGTCATTTATTTGATTTTAAATAACTCATAATGCCATTTATTCCTTTACCTAGCTATAGTAAAGCGAGCTCTAAATATAGAGACAAAACTTGTATTAGCTTGTTCTTGCATACTCTAATAGTGAACAGTTGCTACTATATTATCATATCATAATGCTGCTGATCCTCTTAGATATTCTGTAACAATACTACATTTTCTTTTAGGTGTCTAATTATTCGCTGTCATAGCTATTTCAAAATGTTTAAGCCATTCTTCTGGGTCTTCACTATCATTTTCCTAAAATGGTTGCACTGGTATAATATTAGTTTCCTTTGAAAATGCTTGTGATCAAGCATCTCTAATTTCTTTAGCAATCCTTTTAAAAGAATCACTTATTTGTTTAATAATTGCTGCAATACTATTATTGCCTAATGCTTCATTATTTTTAATTCTATAATCTTCATCATTACCTTTCCATTCTTCATTAGAATTATTACAAGATCCTAGTTTAGGTAGTTTTGATCCACTTTGTTGATTGTTACTTTATCTTCTTCTGTTATGATGTCATTTGATATCAAAGTAGGACTTATTTTTAATGATACTATTGGATCAAATTGAGTTTTGATTGATTCTTTAAAGAAGTTCAATTCTTTTGCCACTTTAATTACGCTTAAAGTTACAAATTCAGAATTTGGTTCAAGTATTTAAGGGTTGATAAAAGTTAAGTTGTATAATAATATTCAACTTTAATTTGCAGTGGTTTTTGATATGCTGCTGTAGTTGTATCAAGTTACAGTTGTTCAAAAAAGATTAGAGTGGCAAGTTTTTCTAATAATTGGTCAAATAGTAATATAGTTTTTCCAATGAATATAATTGTATCAAATTCTGCACTAATCCAATTTCAAAAATTCCTAAAATTCCTAGGGATATCTTTTGGTATTAGGTGACAGCTAAACAGATATAGTCAGTTGATAAGATCGTTTGTCCTTTATTATGTTGTTCAATATGTACTTCTTGAAGTTTGTAATATAAATTTAAATTCATTCACAATTTAACTTTCAAAAGTCTTTCTCCTAGCAGAAATCATCAAACTGTTAGATCTGGAATCGTCTCAAACTAAGCTAATAAAACTAATAAATAACACAATTATCTCAAAGGCCTTTCCTAAGAGAAATTAGCAATTAACAAACAAAATAATTTATTATTATAATTCACTTATGTAATAAGTTATCACAATCAATCCTATAATGAAGATAAGAAGAAGGTTAAAAGTATAAAATAGTAACTTTATTAACTATAGAGTTATAAGTCTAGTCCCAAGACTTATTCAGAAAACTATCTGATTAAACTCTGTTAACTTAAGGTCAACCTACAGGTCTATTTATATAAAATTGTTAACTAATACTATACTACATCTTTCAGTAAGTACATATAATGAAAATAATATAAGTAATGAAAAATAGACTATATAATATTTATATTAAAAGGTAAACTATTCAATACATGTATTATAAAGTTGACTAAATGATACATATATTATATATTTAACATGTATGATATTTAGCGTAGTTAAAGATCATTTAAGACACAGTATAAATTGCGACTAACACCAGTAATGTTCATTATAATATTAGTAATATTTTATCTAATGTATTCTGCTATATCATTATGCTAATTATAATTGTTGAATATGAGGACTCTAGTTCTAGGAAAAGTGCCTTAGAGACAGCTGATATTGACTCATTTATTTTTTACTATAGAAAACACAAATATGATTGATAACTATTAGAATGGTAAAAAGAAATAGTATAGAATGCCAGAATAGGTACTAAGATTATTCATAATATTTATCAGATCCATGATTGCAAGAATGTGAAATGTCTAGAGATAGGTTATAAGGTTTTCACAAATACTAATATAAGTTTCAAAATATTTTCAACATCAGTTCACTTCGAACGATATAAATTGATCATTAATATTATTTTTCATATTCAATTTATGATCATTCTCCTTATTAATATGATTTTATATTTTGTTCTTATTTTTCTTTTGATTTATTTGATCTTTAAAGATAATAAAATCATCATTATCTTTTGAAATTGTAATGCCATCAAATCTCTGCAACTAAGCTTTCTATTTATATTATATTATTATTTTCGATAAGATGTTCTTACTTGATTCAATATTCAGAATCATATATGCTATTTCGTAAATTTGATATTTTTTTACTAAGATTTTGCCTTTATTAACACTCTAATTTATTTCATTAATTGAAATATGAAAGTTGGTTTTTTCATATGATCCTATAAAAAAAATGAATAATTTATTTATTAATAGTCGAATTAATTTAGATTTTAAAAGTCAGGGTTGAATGATTAGAGTTTCTGTTATTACGTTAGATTTTGTAACTTTAAATAAAATCTCAAAAAGGGTAAATAAAACTAAGACAGTTACTCAAGGAATCACAGGTGAGGATTCACAATAATGTCAAAGAATTATTCTCAATAATAAACACATGAGATAAACACAAATAAATACAAAGATAATTCAAAGATATTTCAGAGATTATGCTTCAGAGACTTCAAGTCAATACAGCGAATCAATACAATATCATATAATAAGTTAACTAACAAAAGGGATTGTACGAATGCAAAGGATTACAGATAATATATAACAGTTTCAAAAGATTTGCGAAGGATAAGTTTTATACTTGATTAATTATACTCCTTTATTGATATAATAAATAAGTTCAGTACCTAAAAGATTAAGATCTTATTGGTTACCTTTGCCAGAAAGGTAATAAGACTTAATAAAAATATAAAGATATTTATACATATTAAATAATTAAATAAACTAAACTAAAAATATTCAAAGGAAATAAAGTTGCCATTTCACTAGGCAATAAAGTTGCCATGTTAATAAAATTGCCAGATTTGCAGGCAACTATATGAACATCTATAATCTACGTGATTATCAAAGGCAATAAAATTAGCATTTAAGGATTTACATAATTGATCGACAGCAATAAAATGGACAAAATGATCTTTATAGAAGATCTACATGGCAATAAAATTGACTTCATATTCTACCAATTAAATCTATATAACATTTTACTGTCACACTGTCAAAGAATTATATGATGGTATCTGAAAGTTATTTTGAGTCCCTCTATTATTTGAATTTCTCTGACGATATTGCTTATACCCTTTTACAAAACTAGAAATCGCCATATATAATATAGAATTCCTATGAGAGAAATAGCCAAAACATTCTCTTTTAAGACTGACTTAGTGTTGAGCTATGATATAAATTTCAGATGTCTTTAAGAAGGTAGAACTAATTGAAACTAGTGAATGTTTTATAATTTAGCAAGTGACATAATCACTAATCGACAAGTTTTCATTATATTTTATTTCTTTATTTTTTCTACCTAATAATAGTTTCTAGTTAGGAAAAATTTACTATGTCATTAAATTAATTGACAAAAAAATAATCAAGAGATGTTCCGTTTCAAGTAAGCATAAAATTATTTCAAAAGAAAACATGTCCTTTGCAAAATTGATTATAATTTTAATTTCTTGATTTTACACTCTTATAATTTCAGGATACGAATGATTTCTATATTCTTTTTCTTGAAAAGTCACATTATATCCTTTTGATGTTGATTTAGTATGAACAATTAAAAAAATGTAATTAATAAGTTTATTAATTAAGTTCATATAAATTTTCTACGAACTTATAGAAATTTATATATTTTTGAGAATCATGTTACTAAATCTTAAATATTTCACTTTAATTTTTTAAATGCATCACAATCCAGATTTGTGATATTAATTACCTTTATTTGTCATCTTTCTTTTTATGTCTTTTGATTATAATCTTGATAACTTAAAAATGTTTCTAAGTTCATATAAATCATAGTATAATATATTTGCTTGTGATGGGATGGATAATTATTCATCATTTAAAATAATATTCGATTAATGAACTTTGTAGTTTATTAACTTCATAAACTTTATATACATAGTATCTTTCTATATGAATAAAATCAGAATTGGTATTTTTGAATTAATTTGACTCTTTTATAAATATTAGTCATCACCTTCAAATTCATGCATTATCTTGGATTAATTTTAGGATTATGGTTCTAATTCATGATCCCAATTAAAATTTGTGATAACAGATTCTTATTATTAGGGTAATTGCAAATTGTACGGTAATAAATACAAATAATGAGTAAAATGAGTGATTGTTAATATTAAATTCAATCCTTTTACAAGACCTATTAATATAATTAATATAAATTCTGATTTTAAATATACCAATAGTATAGGCTCATAATTAAACAGTAGATATTGAACAGAACTTGCGATAGTACATTATGGAAATAAGTCATCTTTTATATTTATTCAGAAATTTT